TGTCTATGTCCCAGATCTGCAAAGAGCTGGGCAGAGGAGATGGCAACCCAGGCAAGTCCCAGTTGGAGATTTACCCCGAGCCTTCCCAGCTCCACACAGAAAGAAGAATGAGATGCAGTCAAAACAAAACTGCTAGTCAGGAGTATAAGCACTCTGTCTTCAGCCCTGCCCCCAATCTGGTATGGAGACCTCATCTCGAAGGGGGTAACTCACTCGGTAGTCAGGCAGCTAGTTGGACCATCCTTACAAACCATCACTGGCAGACAAAGACGGGGTTAGGAGAAGGGAGTTAAAAAGAAGGCTAGATACAGGAGGAATCTGACCAGGAAAATTCAAGAGATGAAACAAGACATGAAAGGAATCAAGAATCCAGGGCACAAAAAAGAAATCAGGTATCAAGTCTAACATATCAAGCAACAGGTCAAGATCAAGTGGACTTCACAGGAGGTTGAAAGCATGGAGAGATTCAGTATCTCCCATCTTTTTTCATCATGATCCTCTTCCTAGCCCCAGGGATAAGGAGTGACAGGTATCATTAGTCCCATTTTATAGAAAGGGAAACAGAGGTCCAGGGAAAGAAAGAAACTTGAACAGTATCACAGGATACATCAAAGGCTAAGCCAAAACAAGAACCCAGGTTCTGTATTTCCCTATTCAGGGCTTTCTCCATTTAATCTTATAACAGGGGGACAAGTCAAGGGTAGAATGACAAAACAAAGGCAAAAGTAGCTGCTAGGGTAGTCTGAGTTCCTGAAACTCACCTGGGGGGAACAGGAAAGTCCTAGATTTTTCCCACTTGCTCACAGCAGCTCTTCTAAACAGTTATCCAGCTAAGTGTCCTATCCATGAGATTCAAGAGATCACATACATACTGGTGTGAGGATGTGAGGGGGCAGAACCAGAAAGATGGCAAGAGGTACTCTTCAATCAAAGTCTTCTGGTATTCTGGTATTCTGATTATTGATGTCTACTGACTAAGATCCCTTTGACTACCAAGTGAATCCTAATGGGATTGGGGAACAGCCTGTGGACAATGACACTATGAAGTACGATCTAGGAAGGTCAGAGCTCACTAAGTTAAGTAAGAGTGCCTCTGTTTCTAGAAGAGCCTCACCTATTAATTTAGACTGGAACCCTAATCCCTTGGCCTAAAGGTAGTTATGCTATGAATCTTTGAACATGCTGCTTTAAAAGGTAAGTCCTGTCCTAAACTTTGGTCCCTTCCCTTGCCAGGCTTACCATTAAAGTCTGTCTCTTGGGGTCCTGGGCCAGCCACTTCCTCCCTAGCCCCAAACACGGAAGGAAGAAGCAGATTATATGCCCTGACGAGAAACATTTCCACTTGGGAGTAGGGCAACTGGGTCCCCACACCACAGTAATAGATGAGAGCAGATTTGTAAACAGTACGCTTCCCTTTTCCCTCCTCCCCAAACTACTCACAGATTTTAGCCCCAGTCCACATCCTTCAGCCCTCAGTCCTAACTCTCAGTTCCCTTCCTATCCTTCAGCTCACACTATCACCCTTCATCCCATATACTTAACCCTAATTCCACATCCTCAGCTTCTATACTCTCAGGTCTCAACCCCCAAGTAGATCCTAAGCTCTCAGCTCAAATCCATACACTCTGCTTTTATCCCTATCTCATGTCTTCTGCCCTATCCTATATCCTCAACCTCATCCCACACCCTTAACCCTCAGGCCTCAGTATCATCTCAGATCTTCAACCTCATCCCTTACTTCCTATTCCAAATCTTTACC